CCGGTCGCCAGTCGAGGCAACCACACCGAGACGAACGTACGTCGCTCCGCGCTCCGCCGCTCGCAGATATTTAGTAAATTTAGATATTTAGCAGATAGATAGATATTTTGTAAAAGTAATATGCAGAAAAGAACAGATTGTGATAGGAACTAAATATGTCATAATGATAAAATAAAATATTACGAAAAAATAATTTGTTTTCAAGTAAAACACAGGTTATTTGTACTGTAGTAAACAATACTGTATTATACACTACAGAGTATACACTATAGGTATCCGAGCTCAGTGTACCGAGAGAGATGGCTTAATACCGGATCGAGTGGGAGAGAATCGCACAGCTGATTGCGCATGGCAACGCGTCGCCACGGCATGCGTCGCCACGCCAGAAATCGGTTTTACGTGCAGCTATAGATGTTTCACAAAAAAATGGACTTAGAACTATTAAGAATGCTAGTGAAGGTATGAATTACATCTTGGCTTGGTATTGAATGCCCTGCATTGTGTATAAATGCAGGTAGACACCTGGTGGTGTACGCTCTTCCCTATTTTCTCGGTGCCGTCGCACGGTCTGCACGCTGTACTTTAAGATTCTATTTAATATTATTGTACTGTCTGTCCGCTTGATAACCATCACTAAGCTGCTGGATGTTTACTACTGGTTTGTTCTTGAACCCCACGCAAGTTCCACCTGCGCGACTGACACGAACCAGAGGCCCGCGTGTCGTTGATCTGCTCTAATAAGAACGGCCCTTTTCAGCGACTCCTAATAATCAAATGACCAAAAGTAGCTTAGAAAGGGACAAAATTATCTGTCGGTCTCTTTCACTCCGTCCCTTTTTCTACGTTTTTTCGGCTTGAAAACTGTATTAGATGTTTTCCAAAAACACATTTTTTTGGGATGAGTACATAATTATAAAGGATCTTTGATTTATAAGACGTTATAACGTCAAAAACGAATATACCACATAAATAACTAGATTACTAGAATGTCTCTTGAATCTTCTTGGAAGTATCATAGTCGAAATATAAGTAATAATATAATATCAAAGTGTACGTTTTTACTGGTGGTAGGACCTCTTGTGAGTCTGCACGGTTAGCTACCACCACCCTGCCTATTTCTGCCGTGAAGCTGTAATGCGTTTCGATTTGAACGGTTGGGCAGCCGTTGTAACTATATTGAGACCTTAGAACTTATATCTCAAGATGGGTGGCGCATTTACGTGGGAGATGTCTATGGGCTCCAGTAACCATTTAACACCAGGAGGGCTGTGAGCTCGTCCACCCATCTAAGTAATAAAAAAAAGTTATACTCTAAAGTTTAAATGGCTCTGCTGTAAAGTTGCAAACACGTCACATAAATAAGCACTAGTTAGTAATAGTATTATATTTAAAGTTGTCGACATATAGGTACGATATCTGTTGAGCTGTTATTAGTCAACTATTTGTATAAGTCGTGTGGAACAGTAGTGCACATGAGACAGTAGTGGTTTTAATAAATTATTTTATTATACTATATTCGCTACGACTACAATTAATTACGTAAGACTTTTTAGCAGTTACTAATGCGAATACTAAATATCGGAATTGGGTCTTAATTATTTGAAAATTTAATTAAAATTTGGTTTTATATCTGTGATCATGATCAACAGCAAAATGTTGGAAGGTACGAAAATAATGTAATGCCAGTAAAAAATTTAATGTGAGATTCTGCTACACCAAAGAATATACTGAATTCAGATACATATATTTTCTTATCCAGCTTATCCCGGTCTCAAAGGAATCAAAAAAAAGTTGCGTGAAAGAACTGAAACTTCTTTTGAGATGTGTTTTTGTTGATATGTTTTCTTCATTTTCCATTCTTAAATCAGATTTATCTTGTAATAGGGACTGCTGTAAGAGAAACAACCTAGCTCGCTTTGTCCTTTCCCTCTCTCCACGATCGAGTGGTTCGCGAGACGCTCCGTCAATTTCCTCACTCTCGCTCTTCCTAAATTGTACCTATTCTCTCTAGCCGTAACGAAACGGGCGCGACTCAAATTTTACTCTCAAAGCGCTTAAAGAAGCTTCACTTCATAAATTATTGTATCGTAATCGGCTCTTGATGCGTGCTGGATTGTCAAGTCAAAAGAGCGTCTTGGAGTCGGTGGAAATGACTTTCAAAGATGCCGTCACATAGATATATAGAATGATGAAATTGAACAACAAAAATTGAGCAAAAAAGAAGTTCAACAATTATTGAAGTGAAACTTCTAATGCGAACTTCCAACAAGGTTGCGTTAAACGTTTAACGCTACCATACTAGAAAGAGACAGAACGAGAGTGAATGTGTGGTAATCGAACGCATGCGCATAGTATACCTGCTACAGGCCAGCGNTATATATATATATATATACACAGTATTCAAGCATTCCCTATTACAAGAGAAATCTGAATTAAGGATGAAAAACGAAGAAAACAACAATACTACACATCGAAAAAGAAGTTTCACTTCATTCACGTGCACTATGTTGCACGCGCGTTTTTTTATCAACAACTACTTTCTCTCTATCTCTCTCTTCTTCGATCCGTGTTCTCCCAATGCTGAGTGTAGATCTCTTTCGCATGCAGTCCTTATCAGCTACTTTGACTACCTACTTAGGCCACCTCATTGGTTGTCCGCCCACGTTACGACAATTTAAATTTAGATTCCTTTAAGACGTCCATCACTTAATAATTTTAAATTAAATTAAAGTCTTATATGAGCGCAACTAATAGAAACGAAAATATTTCTAATACTTTTTCTATTCTATAGCTCTATGTATTCGTTCCTTAAGTACGGTAATGTTCCACCATCGTCACGATCGAATAACTAGTGATTAAAATCACACTTAGACGCCATGTTTGTTTCCCAGTCTTATTCCTTATGGTTTCATATAAGGTACTTTTAAAATGAAGCCAGCGAATTAAGTAAGCAATGAAAGCAATCACTTTAGGCTAAGGCCAAATACATTTTTAATATAATAGTACTAATGCTTATGTAGGTGTTAAATAATTTAATTTGCGTTTTAGATTAATTTTCCGCAAAACTAAACAAGATGGCGGTACGCGTTCGCGTTGGTTTAAAAAACCCATTGACATTTAAAACTAATACTTAATTATTAATCCTTTACATAAATAAATAGATAAACTTTATGTAATACATATATACAGTGCGAGAAATTATGTGCATTTAAAAATAAAATTTATTGCTCTAATGAAATACATACTTATCTCATGTTCACGGTGACTTCCACAGTGATGGAATAACGTCGTGTAATAAAAATCGGAGTAGCCTGAAAATTGAGTGGGCGTAATTACTGGTGGTAGGACGTTTTATGAGCCCGCCCTGCCTATCTCTGCCGTGAAGCAGTAATGCGTTTCGGTTTGAAGGGCGGGGCAGCCGTTGTACCTACTGCAAAACTGAGACTTAGAACTCTCATGTAACAAGAATCTTTTTTTTAAACCTATTCTAGTAACCTCGAGGGGTTATTCTAGATTCACCAAGCTAGGTGAGCTCACGGGGCTCAAATCGAGAATGTTGCTAATACTGGCCCTAGCAAGAGCAGTTCTTCGCAGAATCTACCACTGGATCGAAAATGCGACCCACTGAGAAGATCCGCGAAGAAACTCAGTGGGCTGTATCTGTGGGTTAATATACTCGCCGAGCCCTTCGTTGCAAGCGACATGTTCGGCGAGGACGGTGACCGGTGTTTGAGGTATTCAAAAGCACCGTTAATGGATCGGGAGGATCCTTAAGACGTATTTAGGGCGAGGTCGACTGTTTACCATTCGGTCCACAGGATCGGGTATGTAATTACCGGTGGCCTCGACAAGAGGGTTTTCGTGCCGCCTTCACAAAGTGCTCAAGAATCAAGGCAGAATCCTAATTCGAGGGAAAAAAGCAGAATTCTTCACTGTTCAGGATATACGTCTATGGAACTTCAATGTTTGAGACAAGCTAAGTAGTGTTTCCTATCATTTGGTTCATATTTTTATTCAGATTAATCGAAATAATCTCTGTAATTTATTTATGTATTGTAATTTGCATATAATACTTAAACCACTACATATTTTATTAACAAATTTTACCATTCGTATTTCATGTCAAAATTTAAATCTATTTTCTAAATACCTACCGTTTATCACAAAGCTGTCGGAATTCAACTTGCTTAATTGTTATAGGTGAATATAAATTACTAGAATAACACCGCGCTGCCATCTAACATAGAATATACTCTATGTGTAGAGTTATAGTCGAGTCATGAATAATTAATTGTTAGGTTACAGAGTATGTCGCAATGCGAGGAGGGCGGCGCCAGCCACGGCCAATGGCGGCCGTCACCGATCCACACTCCAACATTATCTATGCGATTTGAATCGGGTCGAATCGACTTCATAACAGTGATTTTAGTTGAGATCAAAGCGATTTTTTTATCGTTTGATGCCGTCAAAGTTTGAGGTGCAATTTTAAAAGTTAACAGTCTAGAATTAGATGTTTTTTATATTCAAACAAAGTGTACTTAGGTAAATTGACTGGGAGCTGTATTAAAATTTTCATCTATGAATTTGATTGAATTGCTAGCAAATGGTTAATGTTTCAAAGTCGATGTAGGTATTGATGCATGTTTGTCATAGGATCTCAACCCCTAGCCCAATTTGAAGATTTCTTGATTATTTAATCAAAATCTATCATACCGTTTCGGAGTTGATATGAAAAAATCACACTATGATAAATTATCAACATAATTAATTCACTCATTTAATTTGTGCGTCTATTTACTTTAAGCCGCTTAAAACAAAATGGACGTTTACTTTAAGTACGTGTTTAAAGCAAAGACGTCTTGCGTTTTTTTTTTTTTCGTTTTTTAAAACAGCATTTCTAAGTTTGCGTGGAGGTGTGCTGTAACAGGTGGCAACACCCCCGTCGTCCAATCAGAGCTCTTCATTTAAGGCGGTGACGCAGTGCCGACACAACATTATTCTTTTTTTTTTGCTAGACAACTCCGCCGTGATAACAGTTCGCGATCATACTATACTCAAACGCTATGTGTTTTACAATAACCAATGTGATTCTAACGAATAAAATATTGATACGCGCACATAAAAAGAATATAATTAAATGAAATACGATAGTTTTCGGACGTAATTGAAATCGATTTAAAGATTAAAGATATTTTTAATTTGCTGAAGATTGAGAGAGAATTCTTTATCCGTTTCCGACTTAGGCAGAGTCAGGTATCTCCCACGCGATCTTTTTAAATCGCACATAGAAATACTCTCTGTTTAATTTTAAAATTCAAGCTATTTTATGCGAACAACGAATACAATAAATACAATTTCGCAGCTGTTACTCCAATAAGTGCAGTTCGTATCTTAGACTATCTATTTCCGGCTTACTTGACTATTTTATGAGTAAATACGAATTTTTGGATAATCGAATGTGTCTGATAAATCAATTTATGAAAGAAAAAAAAACACCACTGAATATTCCTATTGTGATATAATTATAAAAATAGGACGATTCTGTATTTTTATTTGAAAATTGTAAAAAAACGTTTTAAAATTCAACGAATTGTGATTAATTACAAAAAAGCCTTTAATAGAATCGAAAACATAAAATTGTGAATAGAATTGTGTTATTTTAATTGTTATTTGAACATATTTATTGTGAATGATGATGTAGGTAATGAATTTGTGATTTTTTTACTTTAAATCAATTACATTTGTCGGAAGACGATTCGTAATGAATCTCTCTTAATTCGATTATAGTTTTTAATGTAAACGAAAATATTTTTATTTCGTTTGCATCCGTGTAAATACAAATACAGATAAAGTAGGTACCTACTACGGAACACCTAAGAAGTTTCAGTGAAATTCTGAATTGATACGTGACTATGGGTGAATTTCAAATGTGATCGCGTACAATGGGATGTGATTAGAGTAAGCTCGGAGTGAGAATGGAGTCGAGGTGCCGCGTTTTGGAGGCGGAGTGCCAGTCACAGCACGGCGGAGCCCTGGCCGCCCTCAGCCTGCTTCGGACCTACGATCGTTTCCTGATACCGCCCGGTAAGTAGATGGTGCCACTTCGAGGTAATATCTACTGTAGCTACTGGTGGTAGGACCTCTTGTGAGTCCGCACGGGTAGGTACCACCACCCCGCCTATTTCTGTCGTGAAGCAGTAATGCGTTTGGGTTTGAAGGGCGGGGCAGCCGTTGTAACTATACTTGAGACCTTAGAACTTATATCTCAAGGTGGGTGGCGCATTTACGTTGTAGATATCTATGGGCTCCGGTAACCGCTTAACGTCAGGTGAGCTGTGAGCTCGTCCACCAACCCAAGCAATAAACTACAATTAAAAATAAACGTCAAATATTTTGAAAGCACAACAACCGCATTCCGCCCTTCCGATCTAAAGGGATCATAGGACTTAAATTCAGCATTGCGTACCTACATAAAACAATGCTTTGTCAGATATTAAAAGAATAATTTGAAATAAGAAGGTAAAGTGATTTTTAATTGAGATAAAAACTATCGTATTTCTTAATTTCTCTAAGGTCTCCTTTCTTTCGTTCTCCGTATCATTCGGATTCGTCTTTCCCAGAGTCTACTAGATATTCCGGCCGCCTTAGTAAGAATATCGAAGAGAGAAATCGACATAAATACTTCAGTGCGCCGCGCCGGTCATCGTTTTCGTCCAACCCGTCGCTTGCGACGAAAAGCTTTGCGAGTAAATTAGCCCACAGACACAGCCCACTGAGTTTCTCGCCGGATCTTCTCAGTGGGTGGCGTTTCCGATCCGGTGGTAGATTCTGCGAAGCACTGCTCTTGCTAGGGGTCGTGTTAATAACAACGTCGGGGTTGAGCCCCGTGGGTTCACGTACTCGCCCGGTTACGCTGATGGTTACGCTGACATAGCCTCTCAAGGCTATCAGCTTAGGAAGGAAATAAAAGTGCGTCGCGTAGGGCACCGGTGACCCCCATAGCAGTCATAGGGAAAGAAACGGGGAGGGGATGAATGCGACAAAGATACCTCGCTTCGAATCCTTTATGAAAAAATGGGTTTTTTTTTCTTCCGTACCTATTTGCTGGTAGCCTAAGGGGCTATTCCTGCTACGACCAGTGGGGGTAGATAATCTTATCTATACTTATATACTATTTATATATATATATATATAAATGAATTGCTGTTCGTTAGTCTCGCTAAAACTCGAGAACGGCTGGAACGATTTGGCTAATTTTAGTCTTGAATTATTTGTATTTATAATTATAGTAGATAAATATGAAAATGTTCGGAATTAAATAAAAATAAAATTTTGATTTTCCTTTCATGTGTCTCCACCGGACGGATTCCTTTTGTTTGTTTTATGTTTATTTTATACAAAAGTCTAGGTCTTTTATTTATCGATTGAGACACTAGGTACGAAGTCTGCCGGGTCAGCTAGTACTTTATAATATAAAGAGGAAAGATTTGTTTGTTTGTTTGTATTGAATAGGCTCTCAAACTACTGAACCGATTTGAAAAATGCTTTTACTATTTGGAAGCTACACTATTCCCGAGTGACATAGACTATAATATTTTTTGAAAAAAATAATTAAATACATTAACATGACTAAAACTCTTCTCTTCTTTCTCCTCTACTATTTTCAATTTTTATTAATCTCATTACCGATAATCTTCAATGTGCGTACCATCTATATGCCGATGATTTGCAGCTTTATGCTCAGGCTGGAGTCGATAGTGTGTCTTCGGCAGTTGGTAAAATAAATAACGACCTGTCCTACATTAAATCCTAGTCTGACAGTTTCGGCATAAGCGTGAATCCCGCCAAATGTCAGGCTATTATTGTTGGAAGTCAACGCTTGTTGTATCGGTTGGATATGGCATATGTCCCATCGGTTATATATGATGGCTCAACCATCAACTGGTGTTCAGTTGTAAAGGACCTAGGCCTACTTATTGACTCCAGCCTGAGTTGGCGAGCCCAGGTCATCTCCGTGTGTCAGCGAGTTACACTTACACTCCATATGCTTTACCGCCTGAAGAATTTCCTTCCGCCCGAGACCAAGACAATGCTCGTTCAAACTTTGGTCTTCCCCATGGTCGACTATGGTGATGTGTGCTACTTTGACCTGAATGCAGATCTACTCAATAAACTTAACCGGCTTCTCAATAACTGCATTCGATTTATTTATAATCTTCGGAAATACGATCACGTATCTTCTTATCGCTCCCAACTCAAATGGCTCCCCATTCGTCAACGCCGTAGCTTGCGTGCTCTCAGTACTCTTTACTCTTTGTTNGGGGACATGGCCTAGCATTCAAGAGGGCTCCAGAAGGGAGCCATCTCCCGCTTCACGCACCCTTTGTCCAGCAAAGGTGGGAAAACGGGAACACGGTGTGCAGTCCTCTTTGTTCACGGCACCCCTGTGCAGACAACGCTGCTCCACGGTATCGGGGTGCACGCTTAAGCCCCACCGCCGCGACAAGGCGAGACCACGTTCGGTGGGGGGCTGGACTGATTTGGCTAATTTTGGCCTTAAATTATTTGTGGAAGTCCAGGGAAGGTTTAAAAGGTAGATAAATATGAAAATGCTCGAAATTAAATAAAAATAACCATTTTGTTTTTCCTTTGATGTGTCCCCCGTCGGACGGATTTCTTTTGTTTGTTTTAAGTTTATTTTATACAAAAGCTTAGGTCTTTTATTTATCAATTGAGGCACTACGAAGTCTGCCGGGTCAGCTATCTTCTATCTTCTATATATATAAAAATGAATTGCTGTTCGTTAGTCTCGCTAAAACTCGAGAACGGCTGGACCGATTTGGCTAATTTTGGCCTTAAATTATTTGTGGAAGTCCAGGGAAGGTTTAAAAGGTAGATAAATATGAAAATCCTCGGAATTAAACAAAAAAAAAAACGTGCGGCACTCGGGAACTGCCGCGGTAAAGCTATTGCATAGCATTTTTTATCAACTTATGCAATTATAATTAGACAATGATAATTTAATATTAAAACAATATTAAGCAAGACCACGCTACATTAAACATTAATAAAAGCAAAACCTTAACTGTCCCCTTCACACTCATAAGCTAGACCGCGCGAGAGAGAGATGGGCAGACTTTTCATGATGCGCATGCAGTGTGACGTCACGCCACGCGCTTATTCACAAACACTAAGCAAGCGCAACGTGTGAATGTGTTGAACGCGAGCTACATGGTAGGCGGAGTGAGGGGTGTTAGGTTTTTTTCGTTACGAAATTTCATGATTCGGTTGCCGCGCTCAAGGCCCTCGATAAAAGCTATGCAATAGCTTAATAACCATTTTGTTTTTCCTTTGATGTGTCCCCCGTCGGACGGATTCCTTTTGTTTGTTTTAAGTTTATTTTATACAAAAGTTTAGGTCTTTTATTTATCAATTGAGGCACTACGAAGTCTGCCAGGTCAGCTATTTGTAATAAAAAACAAACACAAATGACTCAAAATGGCGCTGAATTAATCTGTTATTTAAGAAATATCGAAATGCATTCACAAAAATGGCGCTAACAAAATCTGTTAAAAATAAAATGACATTCTCAAAAATGGCGAGAAATTAATTTTTATTAAAAAAGAAACATACAGGACTCTCTCAAAAATGGCAGTGCGGTGTCGAAATTTGTTATTAAAAAACTTAATTTTGTTATTTGAAGTCGTCGTGGCCAAACGGATAAGACGTCCGGTGCATACGTGTTGAGCGATGCACCGGTGTTCGAATCTCAGGCGGGTACCAATTTTTCTAATGAAATACGTACTCAACAAATGTTCACGATTGACTTCCACGGTGAAGGAATAACATCGTGTAATAAAAATGAAACCCGCAAAATTATAATTTGCGTAATTACTGGTGGTAGGACCTCTTGTGAGTCCGCGCGGGTAGGTACCCGCACCCCGCCTATTTCTGCCGTGAAGCAGTAATGCGTTTCGGTTTGAAGGGTGGGGCAGCCGTTGTAATTATACTTGAGACCTTAGAACTTATATCTCAAGGTGGGCGGCGCGTTTACGTCGTAGATGTCTATGGGCTCCAGTGACCACTTAACACCAGCTGGGCTGTGAGCTCGTCCACCCATCTAAGCAATAAAAAAAATCTATAGGAAATACTCATTGAATGATATGTTTTATTTCACACAACGAACTAACAGTATTTTGAGGTCTGGCGGCTTGTTTGTCTCGGGTTTTCATCTTCATGACAAGAGGATCCCCGGTGTCGGATATCTGGTCGTAGCCTCGAGGAGCTATTCTGGCCTCACCAAGAGCTAGAGCATGCTAATATCGGCCCTAGCATGAGCAGTGCTCCGTTGAATTTACTACCGGATCGGAATCGGGTATCGGTGGGTTGTACTTGTGTCTGTGGGTTGGGCTACACGTCAAACTTAACGTCGCATTCGACCGGTGCTTGGAGTGGTGAAAAGTGCCAAGGGTGGATCGAGAGGTTCCGAAGGAGACCCTGGATTTGCGCCGGGATAAAATGTTCCCTCAAGCTGCTGCCTTCGCTTCGATTGTTTTCATTTAAAGCTCCGTAAAAGAACGGAACTTATTTTGTTTAGCTTTGCAATCCACGTCCTTCTATGCCATGTTTTTCCATATATACCTAGTCAGGTCATAAATTCTGTCACATGTTTAATGTAAAATAATTGAAACAAGTTTATTCATTATGTAACCATTCATATACCAAAATGAACTTAACAAAACATAGATTCTTATGACACTAAAGTTAATTCAAAATGACCTCCGTGATTTTGAATACAGGCCTTCAATCTGCGCGGCCAGTCGTCTATCGCAGCACGAACGAGGTCCATGTCAATATCGGCGGCTGCCTTAATCAAGGATGTCTTGAGTGACTCCAAATTGGGATGAGGCTTTGAGCACGCCTTTTCCTCCAAGTGTTGCCATATCTTGTAATCTAACGGATTCAAATCTGGACTGGAGGAGGGCCAGTCTTCGTGCCGGATGAAGTCGATTTCACGCGCCGCCAGCCAGTCTTGTGTGCTCTTCGCTCTATGAGCTGGCGCCGAATCTTGTTGGAATACCCAG